AATTTAATGTTTTACTACAGTAACATATATGTGAAATTTATCATTTTAACCATTTTCAAATGTACATTTCAGCGGCGTTAGGGACAGTCATGCCATTGTGTGCCCATCACCACCTATCCACCTCCAGGACTTTGTTATCACCCCAAAGTGAGACTCACCCATGAAACAGTAACCTTCCATTCTGTCCCCACAGCCCATGGCACCCACTGTCCTATTTCTCTCCAAATTTGACTATTCTAGGTACCTCATATGAGCAGAATAACTTTCCTTCCAAGAAGCAAGCATCTTTTAAGTTCATGGCTGCAGTCACCATCTGCAGTGATTTTAGAGCCCAAAGAGATAAAGTCTGCCACTGTTTCCATTGCTTCCCCTTCTGTTTGCCATAAAGTCATTGGCCGGGATGCCGTGATCTTAGTTTTTTTATTGCTGAGTTTTAAGCCAGCTTTTTCACTCTCCTCTTTCACCCTTGTCAAGAGGCTCTTGAGTTCCTCTTTGCTTTCTGCCATTTGGATGGTGTCATCTGCATATCTGAGGTTGTTGATATTTCTCCTGGCAATCTTGATTCTAACTTGTGAGTCATCCAGCCCAGCATTTCACATGATGGACTCTGCATAGAAGTTAAATAAGCAGGGTGACAGTATACAGCTGTGACGTACTCCTTTCCCAATTTTGAAGCAGTCCATTGTTTCATGTCTGGTTCCAACTCTTGCTTCCTGTCCTGCATACAGGTTTCTCAGGAGACAGGTCAGGTGGTCTAGTACTCCCATCTCTCTAAGAATTTTCCACACTTGGTTGTGATCCACCCAGTCAAAGGCCTTGGCACAGTCAATGAAGCAGAAGTAGATGTGTTTTTGGAATTCTCTTGTTTTTCTTTGATCCAGCAGATCATAAATCCTTAGACTAATTCAACAAATACTTGTCAGGTACCCATGGTATACCTGCAACTATTCCAGGCACTTGTATTGGAGACAGTCAAGTATATAAGTAGATTGCCTGGGGTCCAACCTATGTAGGGCCTTGAACACTGTTTTAAGAATGTTGGGTTTCACCATGCTCTGAACAGGGGTGTGATGTGACGGCAGTTGGAAACGATTGCAGAAACTCTGCAGGTGGGTGAGGGTGGGAGCAGGGAGAGTAGGCGATGTTGGTGTCCCAGAGGAGGGCCAGGAGCAAGGAGCAGTCAGAGATAGGGATGACCTTGTGACGGAGACATGGGGGTGAGAGGAGAGCAGGGCAGAATGCTTGCAGAATTGGGACTGAGTCCCTGGATAGTTGGAGCCACCATCGACTGACTTGAGGAGACTGTGGTTTTGGTGCGGGGTGGGTGGGCTGGTGGAATCATCCCATGTTAGTTTGACATTGTTGCTGACCACCCAGTGGAAATAGCTGGTGGGCCGCGGGTATTCAGGTGTGTGGTCTGGGGAGAAGGTAGCCCCTCTGCACGGAGGTGGCTTGTGAAAGGCCAGCAGAGTGAGGCGCCACGGGGTGGAGACCTAAGGACGGAGCCCAGGGTGCCTGCTAAGTGGAGGTCAGGGGTTGGGCAGGGCCCAGCCCCCTCAGACAGAGGAAGGCCCTGGAATGTTCCACCAGCCAAGGGAAGCTGTCAGGGAGGAGAGAGACTCAGTGGGTCAGGTGCCGCCCAGACTGGTGTAGGAGGCCCGAGAACGGCTGGCTGGGGCCCCGGGGAGGCCGCCCTTGATACAGACAGTCCCCAGGGGTCCCTCTTTCGGGTTCCACCAACCTGTTGTAGTGACTTGGCTTTAAGAACATGTGCCAAGATGCGTGCTTGTCATTATACTGCATATAACACCTCACTTTCAGGATTCTCTTGACTGTACCTTTTGTTTTGGTTTTTTGGCCGAGAGGCATGTGGGATCCTAGCTCCCCAGCCAGGGATTGAACCCACTCCCCCTGCATTGGAAGGTGAAGTCTTAACCACTGGACCACCAGGGAAGTCCCGTTTCTTGGCTTTTCTTAAAAATGTTTATTTTTAAAAATAGACTCCAAAATTCTTGTGGAGTCAGGATACCTAGTTCTCCTATTAGGAGTCTAAGTCTAATTTACTCTCTGAGGTAGTTACTGTGTTTCTATTCAGGAGGTCTTTCTGGGAGGAAAGAACTACCAGTCAGAGCAGTGGTTCTCCGTCTGGCAACGTGTGGACCAAGCTTCCGCTGTCGTCTCTGGGCTGGCACCTAGTTCAGAGAGGGTGGGATGAAGCCCCCACTGCAGAGACTTGCTGGGTCCCCAGGGTTAATGGTGCCACACTGATGACCCCCGCCTCAGATGCCTGCAAACCGGCTTTCTGCCAAGGGTCCTCCTCCATCTTCTGCTAGTATTAGGCTGTTTCATGGCGCTCATCCTTCCACGATGCCCTAGAAGAGTCTTAAAGAGTAGACAGTGTGTGTGGACATTCGTCATTCTCTTTAGCCGCCCAGGGTCTGACCCCCCCACCCCCATCTATGGGGGATGCAGTCAGTGGCATCCAATAATGTCACAGGAGTGAAACCAGCTGGACACCTTCCCCAGCTCTTCTTACAGCCTAAGAGATGTGGGGGACAGGGCCTGAATCCCTACTGAAGGCAGCGGAGCTTGCAGGACAAACTGTTAATACAGGGTCCTGAATCACAGAACTCAGTGTCAACAGCAGGAATTTCCTCACCTGGCCACTCTGAACCTGGGTTTTGGGCACTGCCGCTGGCTGACCAGAGCTAAGCCTTCTCTGCTCCACAGTTCTGTGGGCTTTTTTTTTAAAGTATTTTTTGGCTGGGTCATGGTTGCTGGGCGTGTGTTTCTCATTATGGATAGGAGGGCCTGCTCTCTAGTGTTGCTGCGCGGGCTTCTCATTGCAGTGGCTTCTCTTGTTGCCAAGCTCAGGCTCTAGGGCATTTGGGCCTCAGCAGCTGTGGGCCGTGAGCTCAGTAGTTTTAGCTTGTGGGCTCCGTTGCCCTGAAGCATGTGGAATCCTCCCAGGGATGGAACTCATGTCCCCTGCATTGGCAGGTGGGCTCAACCACTGGACCACCAGGGAAGTCCTCTGTGGGCTTTTAAGNCCGTTGCCCTGAAGCATGTGGAATCCTCCCAGGGATGGAACTCATGTCCCCTGCATTGGCAGGTGGGCTCAACCACTGGACCACCAGGGAAGTCCTCTGTGGGCTTTTAAGTACTCTTTGGATCACTTCCCTCTTGCTTCAACATTGTGTCTGCTTCTGTTGCTTGCAACAAGAATCCTAACTTGATGCACATGGATTCACCACATTGTGAGAAAAACTAGAGGTTGAGATTTTCAACAGTGATTTAAGAGAATTTCTGCTTCTACAGAAGATCTAAGTATGAAACTCAGTATCCAAGCATGCAGGTTTCCTACCCCAAACACCAAGTATGGTTCGCTAGCACAATTATATCAAGGATTGGTGGAAAAGGAAGTCCTACACTACAACCGTCCTTTGTTATTATCAGTCTGTGTATGAGGGATATGATCTGGACCCATGCTATAAACGAACTGTGGTTCTGGATCTTAGAAGAAGGCTTTAAGACACACGTATTTATTTTGCCTTAAATTTGGTTCTTTAGGAATGAGAAGGTTTGGTGATGATTAATAACAGGATTGTTTGACAAAATGCATGAAATCCATGTCAAACCCAGTGTCAGGCAGAGGAAGGAAATCATCCCCAGCACCACGGGCTGTGGGTGGGGTGGTGATGGGCTGGCAGAGGAAGAGAAAGGCAGGGACCGTGGCACAGTCAAGTCCATTATCTTCCTCCCTGGAGAGCAGAGTTCGGATTCCTTGTTGAATAAGATAGAACATTCCTCAGGTTTGTTCTCACTGTGCAAACACTAGGCCCCTCTGGATAACAGGGACAGGCTCGGTATCAATTTGCCTTGAATTTCTGCCCACTGCCCAGGTCCGGATCCTCTTCCAATCCCTGTTCTTCACTCCTCCGCTTCGACGGAAGATGTGGCTTTCTGCTGTCCCCTCTCATCCTGTCTGGTACCTTTGTCCCAGCAGGAGAACGGGGCCGGGTATATATGGCACCCAGGACCGCCCGGGCAGGGGCTCGTCCCCACATGCCCTCTGCGGTTCAGTGCCTCCTGGACATGCCAGGAGTCCCCCGGTACCCCACGTCAGGAAGCAGAGTGATTGTCCAGAGAGCCCAATGCAAGCTGTTTGAGGTAAAACTGGGGGCGGCCAGATCCTGAGAGAGCCATGGGGATGTGATCGGGGGATGTGCTCGGAGGATGTGTGGAGCTGCGGGTGGGGTCCCTCCTTCCCAATGCCCAGGGAGCCGGGGAGGCCGGAGCGAGAGGGCTGTGAGTCTGAAACACCAGCGTGAGCAGGAGGGTGGGCTGTGCTCTGTCAGATGCATTCTCGCTTCAGAAACTGAGGCGGGGACACAATGTGTACATCAATTCAGATTACACTCAGTGGTAATATTTAAGTATGGCTTAAAGGGAAAAAAAGTGTCTATATTATGACGCATCTCGTTTTGTTTTAGCAGCTGCTGCTGACTTGCCTACCCTACACCCACTCTCCTCAGCAGTTTTTAGATATCCAGTGGCAAGTTTCCCAGGCCTAGAGATAAATCAAAATTGGTCTTTTCTAGGGGCAGACCTATCTAGGTTTTGAGAAACCGGAAGCTCCCATAATTGGGAAGTAGAGAGAATTTTTTTTTCTGAGAAAAACTGTAATACTTAATACAAAATTAGGTGCCATGTGACTTTTATTTAGACTGACAAACTATAAAGCAAATTACAGATTTTAAAATGCTAGCAAATTCTACAAACATCATGAAGTCCTGATGAATAACATAAGGGTGTTATGGGTGTATTAAGGGTGGCCATTTAATACATTTTCTCCCTAGTTTTGGGCTCTTTCCTCTTTGATCTAAGTCCAAAGCTTAGGGGAACTTAGAGGCTTTGTAAAGGAATTAGGAAATACTACACACAGACTGAGGTAAGGTCAGGAAGGAAATTTCCAGAAATGCAGATTAAACAATCTGAGATAGATAACTGTCCTGTTTTTATTATTTGCTGTGAAATACAGTGTGAATGGGTGTCCATGTGGAAGCATACCCCCCCAAGGAGGTCTGGATCCCAGGGGCCACTCAGTTTAGGGGGGACTGGCTACCACTGAACTGAGCCTTTTTTTTCATGTCCACTGAAGTCGGTCACAGCTTCCCTGGCAAGAATCAACATAGGAGAGGCATCCTCAACTCTAAGGGAAGCACATGATGATGGCACTTGTGATAAAAGTACTTTAACAGCATACCTTTCATACTGTAGCATTTCTCAAATGGAAGGCTCAGGTCAAAAGGTCTTGGAATTTTCCAAGATCCATATATCAAAACAGGTAATAACTCTAAAAGCTTAATGTCTAATACAGCAAAACTTTACTCATCCTCAAACAGAAGCCAAGAATAAGGCAGATTCAGAGATGACTAATACATAAATTCAAGTGGACACAAAGTCTTGACTCACTCAGCAAACAGATAATACACAAAAAAGCAAAAGCATAAACCTAAAAGGGAAAAATGTCTTTAATTGAAGTGAAATAAATACTGTTGAGGTGCCAATTCTTTATTAGAAGTTTCCAACTCCCATTTTAGTTAACAAGACAGCTGACATATAATCTCTTCCCATGTTTCCAGCACTCATCCTGAACCCTACCCTATCAGCCACCTTTGAGGTAATGTGAGCGCTTGCAGTAACAGCCAGTGCTTAGCAAATGTAAAGCAAAGGCCCAGAGCAGGCTTCATTTCATTGCTAAGACATGCTGTTCCCCGGTCACCACTACCACCCCTGGGCTTGGTGGGATCTGCTTAGGGGCCATGGGAGGGAAACTCGAGGGGTCCACACTATCCTGGATGAAGAACGTCTTAGGAAAGCAAGAGAGCTTCCTGGTGGATAAGATGAGATACTGGTAACAATTACCGGACTTCTTAAAAAAGTGGAAGAAGGCTAAGGTGTTTTCTAAAATGATCAATGGTGCATGGCCAACTTCTTGTTCCAAAGTGTTTGAAACATCCAAATAATAGTCATGTGCCTTGGTTTGATAAGGGGAGGAAAGGAAACAGAAATCTCTTCTCCCATCCAGGCTTTCTTTTAGGGGTTCTCTAATCGACGTTCAGGCTGAGCAGACACAGGGGCTGCTGAAGCCACAGTCTTGTCATTAGTGAGTAAACCTCACTGAATCTAGGCTGAAGTACCTGACATTTTTTGCAGAACAAGTACTACCAGATCTTGCCAAGATGTTTATGGCTCATTCTTACAACGCGAAGAGGGAACACATTCTACAGACTTGTGGCTGTGAAGAAGCGGCCCCATCATCTCATCACGTGGAGTCACTGGTTAACCTGCTGGGGCGAGGCTTGCTCTCGCAGCTCAGTGAGGAGCTCTCTGGCCAGTTTTCTCGACCTATGGGCTTCCACGCAAAGATGGTCCCATCTGTACAAAGTACAGTCCAGGAAGCCAATAATCTCTTTCATTATCGCATCCGTCTGAGCCATCTGGAATGAGGACAGAAAAGAAGACAAATTAAAACACTTTGCAGACAGACTCAGCTCTTCACCCAGTGCACCAACCGTAACCACCCTGTCTCCCAGAGGCAGCTGCATTCCTATCAGATCCAAAGGGCTCTTGTTTGTTTTCCAGGTGATGAGCAAAGCAAGACCATTCTCAAACCTTGGCCATCTTGTGAGCAGAATCATTTCCTAAAGCTCACCCCCTCAGACACACAATAGCTACAGACAAATGCACAAATGCTTTATTTCTTGGAACACCTGTCACACGCTTTGGGGGTTATTTGCTGTGAGAAACAGAGGCAAATGAGCATACTACGCTTGACTTTCTACGAAAGGCTCCCTCTAATGTGAGAACTGGAAAATGCTGAAAAGAGAGTGCCACCTGTTCTCACACAAACAGCTTTACAAATGGCATTCTTGGGCTCGCGGCTGGCCCACTTGTTTGTTAATAGGCACCTAAGATTTTAACTCCCTTCATGGATCACAGCCTTGTTGAAGCTCAACAGTTAAGAAGCTAAGATCATGGCATCTGATCCCATCACTTCATAGCAAATAATAGGGGGAAAAGTGGAAGCAGTAACAGATTTTATTTTCTTGGGCTCCAAAATAACTGCAGACGGTGACTGCAACCATGAAATTAAAAGATGCTTGTTCCTTCGAAGGAAAGTTATGACAAGCTGAGCATATTCAAAAGCAGAGATATCATTTGGCCGGCAGAAAGTCTATATAATCAAAGCTATGTCTTTACAGTAGACATGTATGGATGTATGAGTTGGATCATAAAGAAGGCTGAGCACTGAAGAATTGATGCTTTTGAATTATGGTGCTGGAGAAGACTCTTGGGAGTTCCTTAGACTGCAAGGAGAGTAAACCAGTCAATATTAAAGGAAATCAACCCAGAATATTCACTGGAATGACTGATGCTGAAGCTGTAATATTTTGGTCACCTAATGCAAAGAGCAGACTCACTGGAAAAGACCTTGATGCTGGGAGGCTATTGAAGGCAGGAGGAGAAGGGGTGGTAGAGGAAAAGATGGTTAGATAGCATCACAGACTCAGTGGACATGAATCTGAGCAAACTCCGAGAGAGAGTGGACAGAGAAGCCTGGCATGCTGAATGTGACCATGGGGTTGCGAAGAGTCAGACACGACTTAGCAACTAAGCAATAACAACAAAGTTTTTAACACCTGACTCTTACGGGAAGCAGGAAACACAGGAACTGTCATTTCTGCTAAATACAGCCTTAGTTGTGGTACCCTTAAGTGCCATTTTCTAAGAGTTCGGTTCAACAAAAAGGGTGAGAATCTCACTATCTGTGAAGAATTTACTATGCTTTTTTAGACACAAGTATATAAGAACCTCTATTTTTGAGAGTAATCTATGCTTTTTTTTTTCTTTTAAATATAGAACGCTTCACAAATCTACATGTCATCCTTGCATAGGGGCCATGTTAATCATCTGTCTCCTTTAAATTTTAGGCTACGCACTGCCAAAGCAAGCACCACGTATTTGTTTTCTATGTGTGAGTCAAATGTTTAAGTCGCCTGCGCAGCCCAAGGTCAGGCTTCTTCCCTGTGTGCAGCTGGGCCCTTCTGGTAGGATGACCAGGATGGTCCACCTGGGATTCTCCAGGGCCCAGGGCAGCCTTAAGTCCCACGCCACCGCTGTCTGTCAGTCAAGGCAGATCTCTCAGCAGCAGGGGTATTGAGTGAGTGAGAGCGGGGGACACCCGGGCCCCCTGGGCAACGCTGGTGCTCCTCGGCCATCTCCTGGCAGCCGCCCAAGCCGAGAGGGTCTCTGCAGGGGTTGGGGGCGGGGGCAGGCTGCCGGCCTGGGCGGGTTCCATGTGGCTCTTGGTGTCAGATCCTCCTCTCTTGGCTTTTATTCAGCAGTCACAGATGCTGTAGGTGACCTCCATGGATGAAACAATGTGAGCTTTCCTGGGATGCCTTAAAAGACTTAATTGACTTCCCCAAACCTGGGGAGGGGAGAGGGAGACTGCGTTCCGCTCCGGTCTCCGGTCACCCCGCCCCACTGCCGCTGAGGGAGGGATGCTCCGGAAGGGCATCTGTATGGGGCTTCAATTCATCGTGAGCTCGGCAACGACAGAACTGAAGTCTGTACTTCAGATTCGGGCTGCCTTTCGGCTGACAGCGCTGTGGTCCAGCAACAGAAGACAGAAGGAGGCCGAGAGAGAAATGGGAAGTCGGGGCAGGTCACGGGGCAGGAGAGGATGGGCCTCAGGGGCCGCGGGATCCTGGGCCCCAGCCGGGCTCCTTGTGCCTCATTCTCATCACAGAGGCTCGGAAGGAGCAGAGAGTGGAGACGTAAGCCAGGAGCAGGGAGCAGAGAAGCCGAAGAAGAAGGGGTGGGGAGGGCAGGGGTTCTGGCCCAGGGATTCAGTGGGGACTCAGAAGCTGAGCCCTGGGGCCTGTGCCTGAGCCCGAGGAAGCAGTCGGTGGGGAGCAGCCTGCGGCAGAGCCTGGGGTGTGGGGCCACGAGAGGAGGAAGGTGAGCGGACGGCACACGCGCCACTCGGGTACGGATGGAACACGGTGCAGAGAACACGGGGCTCAGAGCCCAGGGCTCACACGACAGCAAGACCAGGACCCGGCCGGGGGCTGGCTCTGCTCCCTACTCTCTTTCTCATCAAAGCCAGGCCAGGGCTGGGGTTCTGGGGATGGTGATGCCAAAGCCCCTGGGAAAGAACAGCTGTCCCACTGAGCCCAGGCTTTCCCAGCTGGCCACCACCTGCTCCCAGTCAAGCAGACCTGGCCCGGAACTCTTCCCAGGGTGCTCAAAGAGGGCCCGGGAGGAGCCAGTGCTGGGGGGACTCCTAGCGCCAGTCCTGCTCGTAGCAGTGCTTGCCGGGCTGCCTTCAACAGACCATGTGGCACTACAGGAAGCCTTCGAGTAGGAAGGCCGATATGTTAGTAAAGACAGTTCCAGAACATCTCTAAGGACAGAGCCCAGGAGGCATTCTGAGCTACGACAGGTTCTGAGGTGCCGGGAGGCCAGTGCCCACCCGCCAAGGAACCAGTGCAGGAAAGCAAACACCTCGTTTCATCCTCTAATGATTTTTGTTTTTTTTGCAGCTGAGCCGACTTATGAAAGTGAAGATGTGCGGGGATTTTCCAAGCTCCCCCAGGCTCAGGTGTAGATCAGCAGCGTTGACTGGGGTTGAGCTATTTTGTGGGAATTGGCCTCTGGCATCGGTGACAAGCCTGAGCTTGGTGACATGACCAGTTCCTGAGTCACAGCAGCCGTTCTGTGGGTGAGACCTGAGAGGGTGGTCCGTGTGAATGTGGACTGTTCCCGGAATGGAGGGAAATACGGTTGGAATACGGAAGCAGAGAACTGGGTGTCTCTGAGGAGCTTTCTCTAGGCTGTATTCTCTCACACCCTATGGGCTGGGACTCCGTGATCTCCCTGGCCTGCTTTCCACCCCCAGGGGGACAGGATGTGGGAGGACTAGGAGCGCACAGACTCAGAGAGGAAGGGCGGCCAGGCCTGAGCAGGCTCCAGGGCCTGGGCAGGAGGTCAGAGGTCAGGCAACAAAAATACCACCAACGCCTGCATGATTCAGAAGTCCCTGGCTTTGATTTTTTGTTTTTTAAAACAGGTTTCCTTTTATATATGCGTGCTAAGTTGCTTCAGTTGTGTCCAACTCCTTGCAACCCTATGGACTGCAGTCTGCCAGGCTCCTCTGTCCATGGGATTCTCCAGGCATTTCCTCCTCCAGGACATCTTCCCAACCCAGGGATCAAACCCGTGTCTTTTAGTTCTCCTGCGTTAGCAGGCGGGTTCTTTACCACTAGTGCCCCCCGGGAAGCCACTTCTCATATATATGTTTTTTTAAATTTCTGCACTGGGTCTTAGTTGTGGCATGTGGGATACAGTTCCCACCAGAGATTGAACCTGGGACCCCTGCATTGGAAATTCGGAGTCTTACCCAGTGGAGCACCAGGGAAGTCCCCTTAACTTTTAAAATAACTTTCAATTTTAGAACAGTTTTAGATTTATAGTTTGACCAAAAGGATAATACAGAGAAATCCCATATCTCCCCACACTCAGTTTTCCTGTTAACATCTTACATTAGTTTAGTACATTTGTCAGAATTAATGAGCCAGTATCTATTCACTTTATTAACCCGACTTTTAGGTCAGACTTTATTCTGACCTCAGTTTCTCCCTAATGTCCTTCTCTGGTCCAGGATTCCATCTAAGGCACCATATTACATTTAACCATTGACCCTCCTTAGGCTCTTGTTGGCTGTGACGACAGACAAGAAGTCTGTTCCTCAGACTTCCCTGTTTTTGATGACCTTGACAGTCTTAAGGAGTACTGGTCAGGTATTTTTGTCAAATGTCCTTCAACTGGAGTTTGTCAATTGTTTTTTTCATAATTAGACTGGGGTTATAGATTTGGGGTAGGAAGTGCCATTTTCATCACTTCCTATCAACATGACTTAGTACTGCCGATGTTGACCTTCATCACATGGCTGAGGCAGTGGCTGACAAGTGACTATTATAATTTATTCCTGGCCAGAGAGGAAAATTGGTTGATACCCAGTTCTACAGCTATGAGGACATTCTTTAGCTCTCACCTATGGAGTTCTCCCACCCCAAATGGATTTGGAGGTGAGATGTGCCTTTTATAAAAGCACATGACAGATGGCTGTGCTGGGGCGTGCCCCGAGGAGATGGCACCCCGCATGTGACAGGCAAGCCCTCTTCTGCTCTCGGCCACACCCAGGCTCCGGGAGGTCTTCTGTCTGAGCCCTAGAAGACGGCCTGACAGGCTGGCTGTGTGGCCTGCCTGCCCCACATACCTTGTTCTCCCGGGACCAAGGAGAACCTCTGAGCACCAGTGACTGAGTTTTTGGCAATCCCACTGGTCACTGGGACTTGCTTCCCGTTCACATTCAAACAGAGCAGGAGAGGGCAGGAGGGGGCCTCTGAGTACTGGGAACATTCCTTTCTTGATTTGGTTGCTGGTTGCATGGATGTTTTTGGTTTGTGAAAATTCATCAAGTTATACTTTAATGTATGTGTATTATAAAAATGTATATGTATATGTAATGTATATGTATTATAAAAACAGGAAAAAAAAGCGTTTTTTTTTTGAGATGAGCTTATAACATAAAATTTGCTATTCTAACCATTTTTAAATGTACAATTCAGTGGCATGAATTATATTCACAATGTTGTACAACCACCGCTACTGTCCATTTCCATAACTTGCTCATTATCCCAAACAGGAACTCTGCACCACTCCCCACTCAATTCTACTATCTGTCTCTATGAATTTACCTATTCTAGGTATCTCATATGAATACAGTCATATAGTATTTGTCCTTTTTTTGTGTCTGGCTTATTTTACTTAGCTCTCAAGGTTCATCCATGTCGTAGCATGTGTCATTCATTCATTGTAAGGCTGAATAATATTCTACTGTACGTACAAAGCATATTTGGTTTATCCATTCATCTGCTGATGGGCATTTGAGCTGTTTCTGTCTTTTGGCTCTTAGGCATAACACTGCTATAAGCAGGATGAATAAGTATCTGTTTGAGTCCTTGCTTTCAGTTGCTTTGGGTACACACTCAGAAGCAGAACAGCTGGATTGTATGGTGATTCTATCTTTAAATTTTTGAGGAAGCGTCAAACTCTTTTCCACAGTGGCTGCATCATTTTAACATTCCCAACTGGAAAGGTGAGTGCTCAATTTCTCCACGTCCTTACCAAGACATGTCTTTCATTTTGTTTGACTTGGTTTATAGTATATGTCCTAGTCCCTGGGTCAGGAAGATCCCCTGGAGGAGGGCATGGCAACCCACTCCAGTGTTCAATCCCATGGAAAGAGGAGACTGGCAGGCTACAGTCCATAGGGTCACAAAGAGTCAGACACAACTGAAGCGACTGAGCACACACATATATGTCCTAGTGGGTATGGAGCAGTACTTCATTGTGGCTTTGATTTGCATTTCTCTAAGAGCTAATGACCAACTTAGACAGCATATTAAAAAGCAGAGACATTACTTTGCCAACAAAGGTCCGTCTGGTCAAAGCAGAGGTTTTTCCAGTGGTCATGTATGGATGTGAGAGTTGGACTATAAAGGAAGCTGAGTGCTAAAAAATTGATGCTTTTGAACTGTGGTGTTGGAAAAGACTGTTGAGAGTCCCTTGGACTGCAAAATCAAACCAGTCCATCCTAAAGGGAATCAGTCCTGAATATTCTTTGGAAGGACTGATGCTGAAGCTGAAACTCCAATACCTTGGCTACCTGATGCGAAGAACTGACTAATTTGAAAAGACCCTGATGCTGGGAAAGATTGAAGGCAGGAGGAGAAGGGGACAACAGAGGATGAGATGGCTGGATGGCATCACCGACTCAATGGACATGAGTTTAAGTAAACTCTGGGAGTTGGTGATGGACAGGGAAGCCTGGCGTGCTGCAGTCCATGGGATCGCAAAGAATCATACATGACTGAGCGACTGGACTGAACTGAGGAAGGATTTCTTTGTAATTAGCAAATGTTTTTTAAATTAAAAAATTAAATTCTTTGAGCCACTGCAGTGAGCACACTTGAGTGAAGTCTTGTTTTTCTTCACAAGGAGGAAGAGTCACGCACTGTAACAAAAAGATGGCCTGAGGAGACAGGAGACTAGCTTTCAGCCTGGACCCTGGCCACGAGCTGTGTGACCTGGGAGCAGGCTCCTTCCTCACCGGCCGCCCTCTCCCCTCCTCTCTGCCATGCAGGTGCTGCACACGCTCCCATCCGGCCTGCTTGTTTCTTCCCTTCCTGTCCATCCATGTTTGGACAGCATCCTGGGACACAGGCTCTTCAAAGGCCAGGCCCTGCTGTCTCCTCCCTTCCTGTCCATCCCTGTTTGGACAGCATCCTGGGACACAGGCTCTTCAAAGGCCAGGCCCTTGAGTGATAAGCCACGCTTCCCCTGGGTTGTGGATGAGAAGCAGGATGCCAGAAAAGGGGAGACTTACGAGGGTGATGACTTCCCGGGCAATCGCGTGTCCTCCAGGAGCCCAGAGCAGGAAGTGCAGGAGGAGGCGTCTGACCAGCTGCTGACAAGCAGGCGGTCTGGGGTCTCCACCTCGGTTCTCTCCAGCTGCTGCCTGCAAATCCCTGGCCGAGAGGGCTGGACTCCTGAAGAGCTTCGAGAGGCGGCCAAGCACTGTCTTCACCTCCACCTGGGAATATAATTTCAAAGGAAGAGATCAGGGGAGGGTTGGGACACGTGTGGGGCTAGGATGATTCAGTTCTCTGAAGCAGCCCCAGAATCAGGAGAGGTCTGGCGCCCGAGGGAGGGCAGAGAGGGTGGACCATGTCTGAGTTTACACGCTGCTCCACACAAACCCGAATGGGTGTAATGGAAATTTCTTGACTTTCGTCTTGCTCACTAAGCAGCCAGGGCACCATGCCAGGAATTGACCTTTTTTTGTTGTTGTTGTACAAAAGGAAATGGAGAAAAGTCCTCAGCAGAATGTAGTCATATTTTTATATTGTGGGAAAAAGAACAAAAGGCTCCTTGAAGACTTGCTCACTATCACAGCCACAGATCAATTAAAGCCCCGTGCTTGGACCTCCACTGAGTCAATGTGCTGATAAGAATGAGGCTTGCCTTTTGCCATCTTTGGTGGGGAGGAAATGCCGGCTCACACACACACACACACACACACACACACACACACACACACACCACATTTGTTTTGTTTTAGACACTGGGACACTGTTCATACATATTTAAAGCTCAAGCGGAGGTCACAAGTCTGTGGAATCCATATAATAATAGTGATTGTTGCAGGTCTATGGGTTGTTTCTGCATAAAAAATATTTATTTCATGCTGAGACTTCTGTTTGGTATAAGAATGGTACATCAAGTTGTGACTTGGAAAACAAAGCAAAAACTGAAAGTCATAGATCCAAAATGCCACATGGAACTCACAAACAGCTATGTTCCCTCATTTTCAAAAGAACACTTAGGCCCACTCTAAAAATTCCCATGACCAATTTTATGGATTTTGTGTGAGTTCTTTTTTTCTCTGAAAGTTAAGGCTTCATTCAATGAAGTCTGTCATAAATTCCAACATACTAGCAGTGTTGTGTGAGCAACTCTGACCACAATGCAAGACCGTGAGAAACTGCACTCTGGGCCCTTCCATGGTGGAGGGCCACGTCCTAACAGGAGAGGGCCACTCCCTCACCACCTCTTGTCTGGGCCCACCCTGATGGCATCTACAGGAGCCCACAGCCATCCTGCATCTAGGCTGGTCTGCAAAAATGTCAGGGCTTAGGAAGCGCTGCCTCCATAATCATGTTCTTGTTCATCTTCTCCGCTCACCCAGTATTCCCTGAGGCTTGTCTTTTCTCTTTCTCTTTCACTCCAGGCCACCTTTCCCTTCAGATACCTTCCTCACATGCCAAAAACACTAATGCTTTCTGATCTTTTAAGGAGAAAAATATAAGCTTTCTTTTCTAAGTATTAATTTTTACCCTGCAGTATGAAAATTTACATATGCTTACTGTAAAACATTTGAACAAAAAAGTAAAAAGAAGAAAATAAAAATGATGGTAACCACTATTCAAAGAGACTTATTAAAATTGACGTTTATATCTTTGTCATCTTTTTCTATTCACTGTGAACATAGCACTCACTATATACAAGGAACTGTATTCTAGGGTTTTCACAGTGCACTATAAACAATTTACCATTATCTACATAGCACATGTTCTTTGATAATACGATCTTTCACGGCAGAATGCTACTCTGTGCCTGTGAAGTGAAAGTCGCTCAGCTGTGTCTGACTCTTTGCAACCCCATAAACTATACAGTCCATGGAATTCTCCAGGCCAGGATACTGGAGTGGGTTACCTTTTTCCTTCTCCAGGGGAATCTTCCCAACGCAGGTATTGAACCCAGGTCTCCTACATTGCAGGTGGATTCTTTACCAGCTGAGCCACAGGGGAACCCAAGAATACTGGAGTGGGTAGCCTATCCTTTCTCCAGTGGATCTTCCTGACCCAGGAATCGAACTGGGGTCTCCTGCATTGCAGGCAGACTCTTTACCAACAAAGCTATCAGGGAAGCCCATTCTGAGGCTGTAACATACCACAACTTATTCAGCCAATATCCTTAGTACTGGAACTGTAGGCCATTTCCAGTTATTGCAGTTACAAACAACACTGCAATGATCCTGCATGCAAATCTTTACACAGCTCTCTAATTACTTCCTTAGGAGAATTCCTAGAAGAACGACAGGGTTGAAGTGTATGAACCCTCACTTAATTCTTAAAAGTATACAAACATAGGAAGTTTTTGCTTTTTATCATGATTCAGTTCGAAGTTAACAAAAGGAAGTGAACACTGGCTGGCAGAGAACGCAGTCTGCAGAGACAGGAGTGGGTATTCGCACAGGCCGCATGCATCCCAGGCGGGAATGGCTGCTCTTTGCTGCTCCCCACCTCAAGCTCCCATCACCACCTGCCCCAATCTTAAATCTTAAGGATGCCCAGCAGAGGTGACATTTCCAGCCACAGGACACTATCACATCCAGTTCAGTGTTGTGATTTAACTATGCCTTTTAAGGCAAAAGCACAGGTATTCTCATAGAGAATTCCATGGACAGCGGAGCCTGGTGAGCTACACAGTTCATGGGGTCACAAAGAATCGGACACAACTGAGCGACTAACACTTTTAGTTTCACTTTAAGGCAAAAGCACAAGCAATGTCAAGCTCAGTCAAATCGTACAATAATCATGTTTTTAAAGGTAGTTCACAGTCTGTCAGGTCACCCAACAGATCCATCAAAGGGATTAAGGTCACAAAACCCAGGGGAGTGAGAACTATGTATTAATGCTACTAGTTAAACTAGGAGAGCAGCCCCGCTGCTCCCCAGGATACCACCCACACCAGGGCCTCAAGTCCCAGGCAGACAGCCGCCTCGGACGGAACAGCTAGGGAGGAAACTGACGTCCTGGTGCTAAGCTCCTCTGAGTGATCTAATCTGTTTTGATCCAGGCTGTCAAAGCACCCCCTGAGTGAGAACTGTGTGGAAGTTTTATTAAAAAACAAACCAAAAAAGGACAAACTGAGCCAGCAGACAGATATGCCAATGCAGAGCTCTCCAGAAAGTAAATCTCACGGGACTATTCACTTCTCTACACTTCAAAAGTAACCTGTCAGTTCCTACGATCCATGTGGAATTTAACATAAAACCTACCAGTTTAGCTAATACAGAATCAAATATGAAACGTATATAAGAACGCTTCAGAAAGCGTTAGTGTTCATCTGTGCTGTGTGCTCAGTCGTGTCCGACTCTTTGCAGCCCCATGGACTGTAGCCCGGCCAGGCCCCTCTGTCCACGGGATTCTCCACACAAGAACACTGGAGTGGGCTGCTGTCTCCTCCTCCATGGGGTCCTCCCAACCCAGGGGTCAAATCCACATCTCCTCTGTCTCTTGCACTGCAGACAAATTCTTTACCCATGAAGCCATCGGGGGAGCCCGAAAACAAATCAGGATTCTCTTTAATGTGATATTTTAAAAGGGAAAAAAATAGTAAGCTCTCTTTAATCTCTTTTTAATCAGATAGCAATCTTGAAATAAATGTTAATTTCTATTAAAAAAAAATGTGCTATTTGGGATCCAGAATGATTACCAAATTGCAACTTTTTGAAATCACAAACTTTTATTGCCTCTGCCATGTAACATGCTTTTAAACAAGTAAAATATACAGCCATACTGAACTAGTCTCTGTTTTTTTCAAACAACAGAAAACATCAACCAAATGGGAGCACTGCTCTCTACATAAAGAAACCCACTCCCTTTAATTATTAAAATCAGGAAAAAGCGGTGGCAGTTGAACTTTTAAAAAACCAGTAAATAAATGTTTGTAAGGAAGGCGCAAATGCCTTTAATCAATACATGGCTCCTGTAATTATCGTATTCCACACAAAATAACAACTGTCTTTGCCATGGACACTTAGCCACTCCTGTACTTTGCTGCTCTGTTATTTAGGAAACGACCAAGTCCTTTTTTCAGAAGCTAAGTGGTTAATATCATGTGATTACTTTAGTAAGAGTTCTAAACAAAGCCGGTACTGTGAGGACCTACTGACTGATCCAAGAAAGGAGTCAAGTCCAGAGGGAAGCAGACGGGGCCAGGCCGCAGACGAGAAAGAGGCCGGGGCTCCTCAGAAGAGGGTCAGACCCTGGATGACAGCCCCTGGAGGGTGCAGCCCCTGGCCGGCGCGCCTGGGATTCAGGACAGAGCAGCAGTGAGTAAGGAGAAAGGATGGCCCAGGGCCAGAAGGGCCGCACTTGTTTCCTCGAGGCCTCCAGGGAGACCTGGCCTCCTGGTCCACTCCTGAGGGCAAGAAAATATCTCGAGTGCACGCCCAGGGCCCACTCACTCTTCCAGGTCCATGTCTTCCTGTACCTGCTGAGGTGCCTGGAGGTCAGTGAAAGCCAAACCCACCACCGCAGGGTCCCTTCCTGCACCCGAGAGACCGTCCCCGAGGCCGCATGCCTTGGACCCTGCCACCTACCATGGTCTGCACTCTCTGCTGATGCCCGGCGCCTGGGCTGCAGCTGAAAGCCAGGAGCCACAGCAGGGCCTCTGGGGGTTCAGCCTCAGCTTCCGACATCAGTAACTGCTCAGCCGTATCAGTCCATCCTCCAAAGTGAACAAACAAAAACCAGCTCTCAAAGGGGCCTCCATAGGACCTGGAACAGAAACAAAACACAGGGCAGTTAGGCAACTTGATTTCTTTTCCCTTCAGGTTCTTAAAGTGACTGTAATGTCTGTGAATGCTTGGTTTCAATTGTTCTTATCCACTGAAGTACAGCTTGTAAGGAATACAACTCAGGCTCAGAGAAAGAGCTCAAAACGCCACCCTGAACCCATCACAGGATGTTCAAAGGCAGGCTTCCCCAAACCATCCGTACCCCGAGGACCTCAGACTTCTAAATCTTGACACCCCGGACCCCTGAGTGAGCAGAGACATTGGAGAAAGGAAGGTTTTGGCCCATGACCAGCAAGAATGATGCGAGATGAGAACCTGCGGGGGCACCACTGGGCCTTCTGCCTGGCCTGCACAGCGGGGCTGCTGTGGGGACGGGGCCCCCCAGCCACAGGGCAGCCATCCAGGTAGCCCAGAGCAGAAATGAGGGGACCCCGTGGGGCCCAGACAAGGAATGCAGGTGGAAACACGTGCTCTTCCTTTTCCCACAAAACAAAAGGTTCTTGTCAATTTTGGCAATTATGAGTTTTTCAGTTCAGTTTAGTTTAGTTCACTCACTCAGTTGTGTCTGACTCTTTGTGACCCCATGGACTGCAGCATGCCAGGCCTCCCTGTCCTTCACCTACTCCCAGAGCTTACTCAAACTCAGGTCCACTGAGTCAGTGATGCCATCCAACCATTTCATCCACTGCCGTCCCCTTCTTCTGCCTTCAATCTTTCCCAGAGTCAGGGTCTTTTCCAGTGAGTCATTTCTTTGCATCAGGTGGCCAAAGTATTGGAATTTAAGTTTCAGCATCAGTCCTTCCAATGAATATTCAGGACTGATTTCCTTTATGATGGACTGGTTGGATCTCCTTGCAGTCCAAGGGACTCTCAAGAGTCTTCTCCAACACCACAGTTCAAAAGCATCAGTTCTTCGGCACTCAGCTTTCTTTATAGTCCAACTTTCACATCCATAAATGACCATGGCTTTGACTAGACATACCTTTGTTGGCAAAGTAACATCTCTACTTTTTAATATGCTGTCTAGGTTTATCATAGCTTTTCTTCCAAGGAGCAAGTGTCTTTTAATTTCATGGCTGCAATCACCATCTGCAGTGATTTTGAAGCCCAACAAAATAAAGTCTCTCACTGTTTCCATTGTTTTCCCATCTATTTGCCATGAAGTGATGGAACTGGATGCCATGATCCTAGTTTTCTAAATGTTGAGTTTTAAGCCAACTTTTTCACTCTCCTCTTTCACTTTCATCAAGAGGCTCTTTAGTTCTTTGCTTTCTGCCATAAGGGTGGTATCATCCTCATATCTGAGGTTATTGATATTTCTGCCAACAATCTTAATTCCAGCTTGTGCTTCATTCAGCCCGGCATTTCTCATGATGTACTCTCAGTGCAGTTCAGTTCAGTTCAGTCACTCAGTCGTATCCAACTCTTTGCAACCCCATGAATCGCAGCACACCAGGCCTCCCTGTCCATNATCTTTCAGGATTTGAAATAGCTCAACTGGAATTCCATCACCTCCACTGGATTTGTTCATAGTGATGCTTCCTAAGGCCCACTTGACTTCGCATTCCAGGATGTCTGGCTCTAGGTGAATGACCACACCATTGTGGTTATCTGGCTCATGAAGATCTTTTTTGTATAGTTCTCCTGTGTATTCTTGCCACCTCTTCTTAGTATCTTCTGCTTCTGTTAGATCCATACCATTTCTGTCCTTTATTTGTGCCCATCTTTGCGTGAAATTTTCCCTTGGTATCTCTAATTTTCTTGAAGAGATCTCTAGTCTTTCCCATTCTATTGTTTTCCTCTGTTTCTTTGCACTGATCACTGAGGAAGGCTTTCTTATCTCTCCTTGCTATTCTTTGGAACTCTGCATTCAAATGGGTATTTCTTCCTTTTCTTCTTTGCTTTTAGCTTCTCTTCTTTTCTCAGCTATTTGTAAGGCCTCCTCAGACAACCATTTTGCCTTTTTGCATTTCTTTTTCTAGAGGATGGTCTTGATCACTGCCTCTTATACAATGTTAGGAACCTCCATCCATAGTTCTTCAGGAACTGTGCCTATCAGATCTAGTCCCTTGAATTTATTTGTCACTTCCACTGTATAATTGATAAGGAATTTGATTTAGGTCATATCTGAATGTCTAGTGGTTTTCCCTACTTTCTTCAATGTAAGTCTGAATTTGGCAGTAAGGAGCTTATGATCTGAACCACAGTCAGCTCCTGGTCTTGTTTTTGCTGACTGTATAGAGCTTCTCCATCTTTGGCTTTAAAGAATATAATCAATCTGATCTCAGTATTGACCAGCTGGTGATGTCCATGTGTAGAGTCTTCTCTTATGTTGTTGGAAGAGGGTGTTTGCTATGACCAGTGTGTTCTCTTGGCAAAACTCTGTTAGCCTTTGACCTGCTTCGTTTGTACTCCAAGGCCAAATTTGCCTGTTATTCCAGGTATCTCTTGACTTCCTACTTTTGCATTCCAGTCTCCTTATAATGAAAAGGACATCTTTTTTGGGTGTTAGTTCTAGAAGGTCTTGTAGGTCTTCATAGAACCGTTCAATGAGCTGTATAACAAATTCTTTCCTCTCATCATGTATTCATCAGTGCTGAAAAGTTAAAGTTTTTGTGGAGGTGTCCTTTTGTCACATAGGAAATCGGGAGTTGGAATAAAGGATAGACTCTGCTTCAGGTAAAGACCCACTAATTTTGCTCAGAGACAGTCCTAGCTGCTTAACATCTCCCGTGGGAGAAATGGAGGAGGACTGGCCTGAGATCGGGGGGCAGAATCTTCCTTCTGAAGTGGGGAAGTGCCTAGAACAGGACAGCACTAGGCCCCTTTTGCAGTGCTCCATCATTGTTGGATCTGGGTTCGCAGTCCTCTGCTTGGCTCATGGACTCCTGGAGCCAGCACTGTCCCCACCCCTCTAGCCACTGCTTTCCTCCTGTCCCCAAAGAACAAGTGGGTAAACTCTGAAATCGAGTCTGCCAAACAGTGACAGAAAAGGAACAAAGAGGAGCATTCTCTTACTCTCTTGTCCCCACAAGAGAGCGAGCTGATGCTCCAGGGGCCACCTGAGTGGTGGGCTGGGTTATGGCCCAAAAGCAAGGAAAAGGCTCCACGGGGTCTCCTTCCTGCAGGCCTCACGGACGAGTAAGCTGAGCAGGGTCTCCCCCATGCCCCCTGCTCCCATGTGGGCCTCCCTCGTGGAGCACGGTTCAAGGCTTGGGAATCTGCCCTCCTTTCCTCTAGCAGTTGACTGTGCAAGGCAGTCCCACGGGGCTGGCTGAGAAGGTGCCTAAAGCTGCTCCCAGACCCCTCCCAGCAGGTGGCCTGAAGCCTAGTAGAGGCAGATGTGGTTTAGGCGGGACCCCTAAGAAGTTTGTGGCTTCAGTCCTGCTCTTCAACACAGATATCCAGACGGTGCATCAGGGGCTGCCAGGGCATGGCAGGTCGTTAATACAGCCAGTCCTCTGATGCCCACTTGGCTGTCTGTCTCTCCTGCTGGTAAGAGTCTTGGGGTGGGGTGAGTAATTGGCACCCAAACCTGCATTAGTGATGATAAGCAGAAGAGCACCAGTCACAACTTGTGAAGGCCAGTAATGAGATTATAGAGAATTTCAAGTAGGAAAAGTGGCAAAGGGAACAAATAAAGAGTCTTAGTAGACTAGTGTGCGTGCATGCATGCTAAGTCGCTTCGTGTCCGACTCTGTGTGACGCTATGGACTGCAGCCCGCCAGGCTCTTCTGTCCATGGGATTCTCTAGGCAAGAACATTGGAGTGAGTGGCCATTTCCTTCTCCAAGGGACCTTCCCAACCCAGGGATCGAACTGGGTCTCTTACATCTACCTGCATAGACTAGTATAGACAATGAATAAAATACTCTAAAAGCAAGGAAGTTAAGAGGAAGCCGGAGGGCACTGTGTTGCAGAGAACTTAGCAAAGTCTAAATGTGAGTGGTTCTAGAGAAATAATGTGTGTTATTTCCCTAATGTTATATTTATCTAATATAATAATATTAGAAATTATGTTAGAACGGATTTTCTAATTTCAGACAAAAATTTATTACTAAAGAGGAGGAAAAGAAACACTTCATCCTACCATGCAGGAGAAGTTTAGAATTTCCTTCCCTAAAGAGGCAGAGAAGACAGAAGGGCCTAGAGAGATGCCATTCTTGTTCTGCAAGCCAGGGGAGGGGCGTGGGTGCGGGATGCAGCATTTGAGCAGTGCATTTTTCCTAAAGTCTATTCTATGTATTGTTATACCTATACATTTCAAAATCTAACACCAGCCATTACTCACAACAGCTTCTAGGCCAGGTATTTACACATGCAGCCTATTTATTCTGAGCTGCTTGCAGTGCTTCCTCCACTCAGCAATGTGTTTGCCTATTTGGGGATGGTAACAGACCAATGCAGCCATACCTCATTTTACTGCGCTCCACAGAAAACGGTGATTTTTTTTTTTTTTTTAATAGATTGAAGGTTGTGGCAACCTGGCATCAAGCAAGTCTACTGACTTCATTTTTCCAACAGCATTTGCTCACTTCCTGTTTCTGTGTACATTTTGGTGATTCTCATAATATTTCAAACTTTTCCATTGTATTGATCAAGGTGATCTGTGATCTTTGATGCTGCTACTGTAATCGTTTTGGGGTACCATGAACTGTGCCCATATAAGCTGATGAACTTAAAATGATAAATCTGTGTGTTCTGACTGCTCTACCAGTTGGTTGTCTTATCTCCTTCTCTTTGGGTCTCCCTATTCCCTGAGACACAACAATATTGAAATTACTCCAACTAACGTCCTTTTCTTCAATTGGAAAAGACCCTGATGCTGGGAAAGATTGAAGGCAAGAAGAGAAGGGGATGACAGAGAACGAGATGGTTGGGTGGCATCACTGACTCAATGGACAAGAGTTTGAGCAAGTTCCAGGAGATGATGAAGGACAAGGAAGCCTGGTATGCTGCAGTCCATGGGGTTGCAAAAAGTCAGACACGACTGAGCAACTGAGCAACATGATGAGTCAGACACATTGAGCAACAGCCACAATGCCCTACAATGGCCTCTGAGTGTACAAGTGAAAGGAACAGCTGCACATTTCTTACTTCAAAAGGTTGGAATCATGAAGCTCATTGAGGAAAGCACGTTTAAAGCTGAGGTAGGCTGAAAGCTATAGGCCTCTTGCCCCAAACAGCCTAGTTGTGGATGCAAAAGAAAAGTTCTTGAAGGAAATTAAAAGTGCTACTCTCATGAACACATGAAGGATAAGAAAGCAAAACAGTCTTATTGCTGATATGAAGAAAGCTGTAGTGGTATAGATAGAAGATCAAAACCAGCTACCACATTCCCTTAAACCAAAGCCGAATCAGAGAAAGGCCCTGACTCTTCAATTATGTGAGGACTGAGAGAGGTGAGGAAGCTGCAGAAGAACAGTCTGCAGCTAGCATGGGTTGGTTCATGAGGTTTAAGGAAAGAAGCCATCTCCACAACATAAAAGTGAAGGGTGAAGCAGCAGGTGCTGGTGTAGAAGCGGCAGCAAGTTATTCACGATGTGGCTACACTAAACAACACATTTTCAATATAGATGAAATAGCTTTATATTAGAAGAAGATGCTATCTAGGACTTTTATAGCTGGAGAGGAAAAATCAATGCCTGGCTTCAAAGCTTCAACAGACAGACTAACTCTCTTGCTAGGGACTAATGTAGTTGGTGACTTCAAGTTAAAGTCAATGCTTATTTACCATTCTGGATATCCTAGGGCCTTGAAGAATGATGCTAAATCTACTCTGCCTATGCTCAGTCAGTGGAACAATGAAGCCTGGATGACAGCATGTCTATTTACAATGTTTTACTGAATATTTTCCCTGGAGGAGGAAATGGCAAGCCATTCCAGTATTCTTGCCTGGAGAATCCCATGGACAGAGGAAGTCCATGAGGTCACAAAAAGTTGGACATGACTGAGTGACTGAACATACTGAATATTTTAAGCCCACTGTTGAGATCTACTGCTCAGAAAAAAAAAGATTCCTTTCAAAATAATACTGCCCATTGACATTGCACCTGGACACCCAAGAGCTCTGATGGAGATGTACAAAGAGATGAATGTTGTTTACATGCCTGTTAACACAACATCCACTCTGCAGTCCATGAATCAAAGAGTCATTTTGACTTTCAACTCTTACTATTTAAGAAGAACATTTCATAGGGCTGTAGCTGCCATGGGATTCCCTGGTGACTTGGGGTAAAGAATCCTCCTGCCAATGCAGGAGATGCAGGTTCAATCCTTGGGCCGGGAAGATTCCCTGGAGGAATATTCTTGCCTGGGAAGTCCCATGGACAGAGAAGCCTAGTGGGCTATAGTCCATAGGGTCACAAAGAGCCAGATATGACTTAATGACTTAAAAAACAAACAAAACAAAACAAAACAAATAGCTGGTATAGAGGGTGATTCCTCCACGGGATCTGGGCAAAAGTAAGCAAAAAACCTTCTGGGAAGGATTCATCACTGTGGATGCCATCAAGAACACTTGTGACTCATGGGAAGAGGTCAAAATATCAACATTAACAGGAGTTTGGAAGAAGTTGATTCCAACCCTCATGGATGCCTATGAGGGGTTTATGACATTAGTGGAGGAAATGACTGCAGATATGGTGGAAATAGCAAGAGAACTAGAACTAGAAGTGGAGACTGAAGACAGAATGGCTGCAGTCTCACGATAAAACTCTAACAGATGAGGATGTGCCTCTTACAGATGAGCAAAGAAAGTGGTTTCTTGAGGTGGAATCTATTCCTGGTGAAGTTGCTGCGAACACTGCTGAAATGGTAACGCAGCATTTAGAATATCACATACACTTAGATGATAAAGCAGTGACAGGGTTTGAAAGGAATGACTCTAATTTTGAAAGCAGCTCTGCTGTGGGTAAAATGCTATCAAAAGGCACTGCATGTTACAGAGAAATCAGTTGTGGAGGGAAGAGTCAACTGGTGTGGCAAACTCCATGCTGTCTTAAGAAACCTGCACAGCCACTCTAACCTTGAGCATCTACCACCCTGGTCACGCAACAGCAGCAAGGCAAATCCTCCACCAGCAAAAAGAACACGAGTCACTGCCACTGCTTAGCGATACAGTATTTTTAAATTAAGGTATGTATACGTTTTTTAAAGATATAACGCCACTGAACAGTAAATAGACTATAGGACAGTGTGAACCTAACTCTCATATGCACGGGGAAACCAAAAAGGTCATGTGATTCACTTTATTGCCGTGGTCTGGAGCTGAGCCTGCAATATCTCCGAGGTATGCTTGCAATGCCTTCCCCTGTCAGGCTTGCTCACAGGAACGATAAGGATACCAGAGAAACCACGTGCGAAAGAGATCTCGGAGTCATCGGTCTTTGCTTACCCGTGGTCTTCAACTATTTCTTTGAGCATTTCAGAGATATGTTTCAGTGACTGGTGCCACAGTCTCTGCGGAATATCTGTGGGTGGAGAGAGCCATCAGAAGGAGCTGGAGAAAAGTCAAGCCTCTTAGGAATCAACTGCAGTGGAGACCAGAAGGGGCCCGTTTAGGGGAAAGGCCTACTTTTCCTGGTCCATGGAATCCATACCACCACCCTCAAGCTGATCCCTGCCAGAACCATCTCTCAGGCCTGGGAATAAAGACCTGTTAGTGTTACACAGAGCTAAACTTCAAAGGCTCTTTAATTCAGGTACATGAGACTGCACAGGCAGCCCGCTGTAGGATTAGGAAGGCTCTGTTGGAGATGCCCAGCTTTTTTTCTTTTCTACTCACCCACCCCCTTCACCTATCACTAATAATTTGTGGTTTCAAAATATATTTTTTTAAAAGAAAATAGTCAATAAGGAATTAGGAATGTGTTTCCCAACAATTTAGAATACAACTTCAGGTTCACAATTTTTTTAAAGGCCAGAAAAAAAATATGGATATTATACAGACAAAGACAAATGTCTTTTCTCAAGTTAGTTTTTCTGGTTTCGCATTTTTTCCCATGGTCTTAAACACTTCTGAGCACGTATGTTTCTGTAGTTTGAAACAACAGCTGAAAAAGGTTATCACATTTCCATGTAGTGATAGATTCTGTAATTAAATACACCAGAAAGATAATGTAAGTGATACAGGAACCACTACTCCCCCACAAATGCTACAGATTAAAGAATCATAAATTATCTCTCTCCCTCTTCTGAGTTCTCGTAACTCTTGATTTGCAGCCTTTCAAGGCATTTTCCTTTTCTCCTTTTATTAGTTTTTTAGATAGTTATTTTATGTCTCTTTTACTTGTAGTTCCTGGATAGCCAGGGTTCATAAGTGACTCATCTTTTATACCTCATAGGACTTTACAGTGGGCATAAAATCAATTTTTGATGAATAAAAGACTCTACTCTTAAGAAACCCTTCAATCTGTGGATATAACATTATTTTTTCCAAAAGTAATATGCAGAAAATTGTTCTAGGAACCAGCACAAATAGTCTTTAGTTTATAGATGTCCAAACTTAAAAAATAACAACCCTGATATTTTTTGTGGAGCTCATTTAGCTGCTTATTACATAGGCTGACCTTGGACTTTGCTGATCTGACTTGGGCTGTGAGACGTGCCCCTGGAAAGTGAATCACTGATACTCCTGTCTTATTAAAGTTTTCCCATTGTGTTCCCACAGGTTAAGTTCCACAAAACTGCTGACCAGAGATCCCACCAGGCCTGTGTCCACCTCTACCTCTAGCATCTGAGAGGACAGTGTCAAGTTGGGTCACTTTGGGTGAGGATTTAGTCTTTTAGAAAAAGGAAGAGTATTTTTGATTTTGTAAAATGCTCTGAAACCTCAAATCATACTTTCTCAAGTGAATCTACTTACTCAAGTCTCAGGGAAAAAAAGATAGGGGAAAATGGCACAAAAAGGACGTACTATGGGTTCTTCCTATTGTTCCATGGTCAAATGAAACGCCTTTTTCTACAGCTTAGGGTCTGTCTTGTTTCAGTGTCACCTCTCTTTAGATTTCAGGCATTAGTGGGGAAGGATGTCTGTATTCTCTATTTCTGAAACGCTTCATAAACAGGAGCTCACAGGCATGTTAACAGATCAACATCAGTTGAATGAGGACGGAATCATCACTTCCCCAAATGAATATGGCCTCTGGAAGGCTGGCAAATGAAATCACAGAAGGCTGTGGTCTAACACACTTACTGAATTCTTTCAAAAGACTTCCTTTGGCTAGGTTAGGAGAAATTTCCCCTAAATTTCTTTAGCTTCATTCATCATTTTATCTTTTCATTTGCAGCAGGGGACACAGAGAAGAAAGAATGAAATACAGATAAATGTACTGTTTTATTCCAAATCAGCCAAGTCTTAGCCTGTTCCTGGCATCCAGGTGGACCTTCCTGGCACCAGCAGAGGCTTTGTGTTAACCAGAACAGACTGTCAAAACGCAACTAGAGGCCATTGTTTTCCTTTCTTTTACTAAATGATCATAACTGGGAAGCCAAGCAAATTCTCATATCAAAATTCACAGAATGTGACGCTGAAGAGTTTAGAGGAACATTTATCCATCTCCCTGGTTTTACAGATAAGGAACTGGGAGGAAAGGGTTATGATTTTATCACTGTACTTTCCCATAGATTATTCTAATATGGGCAGAATCAACCTTCACATACCTTTCTGAACACTCCTCCTCGGGTGTTGGAGGAGCACCATGACAAGCGATGGAGAAGCATAAGGAAAGTAGGTCTTGAGTGCAAACTTCAACTAAAATAGAACAGAAAATTAAAGCCATTTGAACATTAGCATTGGAAAAGGTATTAAGGAAATATAAAATCTTGCATCCTCTGCCCCAAAAAGAAATTCTAGTACTTTATGTGGTCATGATGTCTTACACACTGATCAAAAATAAAAGATGCTTCTCATAATCTTATAAATATGTTCCAAAAAATTAAGCCTTTTTAAAGATGCCTTCCAGGACTTAAGAAAAATAAAGTTATGCTCTTGATGTCTTTATATCAGTTCTTTACCTCACATAAACCCAATTATATACATAGCTCTATTTATGTGAGAGTTATCAAAAAACAACAGTTTTTTAGCCCTCACAACGTACTCTGAGGGCCAGAGTGCTGTACCGTCTACGCCCTCGGAAGGCACAGCAGCTTTGAAGTACTTTTGTTAAAAGTTGAGGTAAAATCTGTCTACAGTGAATTGTAAGGGCTTCAAGTGTACAATTTGATGACTTTTGGTAAATGTGTAAATCCAACATGACCATCATTCCAATCAAGACACAGAACATTTTGATCACCTTATAAAGTTCCCTTGTAGCTGTTCCAGTCAATCCCTCCACCCCACCCCGGCATCTGATGTTTTTATTTTGATGAGAGAGATTAGTTTTGTATATTCTTGAATTTCACACAAATGGAATCATAAGAGTGTGTGTTTTTTTCTCTCTGACTTCCTTGGCTCAACATGTTCTTTTGAGACTCATCTTTGTTACTGTGGATTAAATACTTCATTTTTTAAAAAAAAGTTGTTCTAAAGTAGTCATTGTATGAATATACCATAATCTGTTTATTTATTCTCCCATTGATGGACATTTGGATTGTTTCCAGTTTGGGTTTTATTATGAATAAAGATGCAATTAACATTCATATTTCTGTCTTTTTTTGTGGACATGTGCTGTTATTTCTCTTGGGTAAATACCATAGGAATGGAATTACTAGGTCGTAGAGTAGATGCTTGTTTAACTTTGTAAGAAACTGCCATATAACTTTTCGAAGCCACTCCACACTTCGGTCAGCAATTTATGAGAATTCCAGTTGCTTCACATACTTGTCGGGTTTCCCTTGTAGTTCAGTTGGTAAAGAATCTGCCTGCAATGCAGGAGACTCGGGTTCAATTCCTGGGTCAGGAAAATCCCCTGGAGAAGGAAATGACAACCCACTCCAGTATTCTTGCCTGGAGAATCCTATGGACAGAGGAACCTGGCAGGCTATAGGCCGTGGGGTTGCAAGAGTCAGACACAACTGAGAGACTTTACTTTTTACTTTATACATATTTTTTGAAGTGTGTATTCAAGTCTTTTGTCCAGTTTTAAAACTGAGATTTTTCTTATGTTCTTGAGTTGTAAAAGATCTTTATATATTCTGGACACAAATCCCCTATTCGATATATGTATGGAGAATATTTTTTTACCTGCTGGGTGGATTGCTTTTTCATTTTCTTAAGGATGTCTACAAAGACCAGACATTTTAAATTCTGATGAAGTCTAATTTATACATTTTTCTCATACTGCTTACTGCTTTTCTGCATTCCTTCTAAGAAAGATTATCCTAATGTCAAAAAAGATACTCTCCTCATTTTCTCCTAGGAGCTTTATGGTCTCGGCACTTATTTTGAGGGCTATGGCCCATCTCAAATGAGGTTTCCTGTTTGTGACATGGAGCTCCATGTTTTCTCATCTGGGCATCCAGTCGTTTCAGTGCCACTTGTTGAAAACTTTCCACACTGAACTTCCTTGGCATCTCTGTCAAAAATCAGTTGATTGCATGAAAATACCTAGACACTATTCTGTTCCACTGATCTATCCTTTTGCCAGTACCTCACTGTCTTGAATGTGATTCCTGCAGCTTAAAGTCTTGAAATCAATCAGTGTGAATCCTCTGATTTGGGGGGGAGGGTTTTTTTTTTTTTTTTCTTTTCAAAATTATCCTGGCTACTATAGGTTCTTTGCATTAGATTCAGCCCATAAATTTCTGTTTTAAAAACTACATTGGGATTTTAACTAGGATCACATTGAACCAGGGATCTCAACGATTCATGATTATGGTTTCTCTTCATATGGTTAAGTTTTCTTATTTTGTGGTTTTCCACGTAGAGATCTTATACACCTTTTGTTAAATTTTCTCCCAAGTATTTTATGTGTTACTGTGGAGTTGCCTGTTTCTCTTTTTACTTCTCTCAGTTTTTACTTTGTGTATCTCAGACCTCTGTTATTAGGCATGTATCCATTTGTAACTGGTTTTTCTCCTGATTAACTATATAAACTGTCCCTCTTTTTTGTCTGTCCATACTCCTTACCTTAAAACCTCATCTGTCTGCTGCTTGTAGAGCCAGAGCAGCTTTCTTGTGTTTATTATTTACATAAAATGTCTCTTTCCTTCCTTTCAGTCTGTGTCTTTATAATTAGAATAGATTTCTTGAAAACAACGTATAGTGGGTCTTAGCTTTTCATTCAGTCTATTTCCTTTTTACCTAGTATATTTAGTTGATTTTCACTTAGTTTTTGTAATTAATGTACTTGTAGGTATATTTGAACTGCTCTTTTAAAAATTTTTATTTATTTATTTACTTATTTGTCAGTTGCCCTGTGTCTCTGTTGATGTGTGTGGGCTTTCTCTAGTTGCAGTGAGTGGGGGCTACTCTTCATCGGGGGGCCCAGGCCTCTCATTGCGGTGGTTCCCTTGTTGTGGAGCACGGGCTCCAGAGCATGCAGGCTCAGAAGTTGTGGTGTATGGGCTTAGTTGCTCTGTAGCATGTGAGATCTTTCGAAACCAAGGGTTGAACCCATGTCCCCTGCATTGGCAAGCGAATTCTTAATCACTGAACTACCAGGTAAGTCCCTAGGTTTACCTTTTGATATGTTTCTTTTGCCTCATCTGTTTTTTGTTCTGGCAGCCCACAACTCTGTCTTTTGACACCTCAAGCCAATCAGATTATGCCCTGGGTTCGGGCCACCCCAGCCTCTTTTAATCTCCTTCCCACCCCTCACATGACAGCCCTCTGGGAAAAGTTAGAAGATTACCCAATGTGGTTTACGTTTTCAAGAGTTGAAACCCCTCCAGTTTTTATCTGCTTTTTGGGTTGCTTTCCAGTACCTTCAAATCATTTTTTAAAAATATTTTCTCCAGAGTTTATAATTTTTATCTGCAGGAGATTTAGTCCAATGCATTATTAGGCTCTGTCACTACTAGAACCAGAACCTGAACTGATTGGCTGCTTGTCCTGGAGCTATTAGGCAAGTTCAGGAAAGAGGCCTGTCATGACAGCCTTAAGTTTTTGGCTACTAGTCTGACTGGGCACATTGATGGGGCTGCAACTATGCTCTCCAAATAAAACAAGGATGAGAGGAAAGGATAAAAAAGAAAATGAGAAGCACTGAAGATAAACATTTTTGACAATGGGAAAGAATGCGGATTGATGGGATTTCTCATAACTGCTGGGGGGAATGTAAATTGGCACAACCATGTATGAAAACAATGTAGCAGTATCCACCAAAGCTGCCTTTGCACACCTAATAACCAGCACTAGCACGCTTAAGTATGTCTTGAATGTTCAGAGAAACTCTATTTATGAAAAAAAAAAAAATCTGGAACTAATCCAAAGGCTCACCACCAGGAAGACAGCTGCACTGTATACACTCTCCCCACAGAGCACTACATGCAATCCCCACCACCACCCACAGCATAGAGCAAGCCTGGCGACACACTGCTGGGAAGAACAAGACTCGGAAGACTGCACACGCAGTACCACTTTCATCTGTCATTTGCTTTATCAAGCGCAAAAACAATCACAAATAAAGAAAACATGGTCTAACAATCATATATACATGATCAGGTTGGCTCAGTGGTAAAGAATCTGCCTACCAACTCAGGAGGTGTGGTTCCAATCCTTGGGTTGGGAAGACAGACCTTCTCCAGAAGGAAATGGCAACCCACTCCAGTATTCTTTCCTGGAGAATCCCATGCACAGAGGAGCCTGGCGGGCTATAGCCCAGGAGGTCACAAAGAATTGGACATGACTTGGCTACTAAACAACAACAACATATACATGATCAAACTGTTTTCAGAAAAAATAAAGGACAGCAGTTACCTGAAGGGAGAAAGTCAGGATGATAGGACAGAGGAGCAGGGGAGTAACCTGAAGTTTCTACTAGGGGACCAGGTCTTGTTAGATGTCAGGTTGGTAGATATTCATTTATTCATAATGAATATGTGGATGAATGAATAAAACACAGAAAGAAAGAGGGTTCATGTGGATCACTTAAGACAGAGGGTGTCATGCGTCAGGGATTATGATTCATCTAAGAAGGGGCACTCAGGAAGGCAGGGGGCAGGCAGTAGGAACAGCCCCCGGAAGAGACACGACACGACACACGGGGATGAAGGCATCTACAAAGCTAAGAGGCTATTGCTCTTGCATCCCGAGCCCAAGGGAAGGACAGTGAACTTCTGGCTTTTTTTTTTGGATCCCTGCTCTGCCTTCCACCAGGACCCATTCTGTGTCCCTTACACCACCAGATACGTGTAGCCTGGGTAGGGTGTATGTTCAATCACTCAGTCGTGTCCAACTCTTTGTGGCCCCATGTACTATAACCCACCAGGCTCCTCTGCCCATGGAATTTTCCAGGCAAGAATACGGGAATGGGGTGCCATTTCCTATTCCAAGGGATCTAACCTGCATCTCTTGCATCTCCCCAACTGGCAGGCAGATTCTTTACCACTAGCGGCATGTGGGCAGGGTACTATTCTAAATTAAAAATGACTATAAGTCTAAACCTAAAGTGTTAAGGCCCACCTGCAACTCAAGGACAAAGTTGATAAGAAAGACAAACTCAAGCTAATGGTACAGAGCAACACTTCTTTTACCAATGCCCTCCACCCCAACCTCAGTCTGCTCCAAGAGTTCAAGGTGCAGGTTTTTTAGAGGTTGGTTCCTAACTGGAAAAACAAAGAATGTTCAGGGAGGATAAAAGATATTTATAGTTTGCCTCAAAATAAGCATGAGGGCCAACCAGTGCCTTTCAGCAGAGCTCTCCTCCAGAATTCCAGGCTGGGCACCATTGATAATGCTGTTTGCTACAGTCTAGCTCACTTCCCTAGGGAAGGAGAAGATAGGGAAAAAACATCATAAATATTTATCACTGCCTTAAAAACAGAAACATCTGCTAAAACCTGAGAGATTTCTTGGCATAGAGGTGTACGGGATTTTAGTAGAGCAGGCATCATAGCACTGCTCCCCTAAGGCAAACTGCAGAAAGTATCCCAAGGGATCATGACCTCACAAGAAACTGCAGAGGGTTCGGGCACTTCAACGGACAAAATACCACACAGACATCAGGTCTGTGGCCATGAGATGTGCAGGCCCATCAAAATGCCCAAAAGTGAAAACTCTGGTAGAAAAGGTTCCAGTTTCACAGGTCACCCTAACTGGTCAGCTGCCTCCGCCAACCGCCCTCCCAGTGCAAGTCTTCCTGCAGGTCCCTAGGCCCGGCTTCTCGCTTACTGACTGAGTCCAATTCACACATTTTGGTCATGGCCATTCCTAGCTCCTCCTCTATAGTTATTCAAATTATAACTGAATAGTGTCACACTCACTACCTCCTATCTCTCCTGGAATCCAGTTCACATTTAGGCCTCTGATATGAATGGAAACTAATAATTAAGAATGTCCAGCATTGCTTTATAATAAGAGCCATTTCCTTCTTAGCACATGCCATAGAGACTCTAGAACACCTCTCTCTGGCCTGGGAGGGGCAGAGTTCTACTCAACAAACAGTGTACAACACAGGGCCCAGAAAGTTCACCCTCTGGGGTGGCACCTGATCATCTGGTAGAGTTCTCTGCACAGCAATAGATAAATGCTTCTGGGTACCAGGACACGGGACAGATAGGAACCATCTTGATTTACTTTCAATTAGAACGATTTTCCCTGGAGGAGGAAATGGCAACCCACTCCAGTACTCTTGCCTGGGAAATCCCACGGACACAGGAACCTGGCGGGTACAGCCCACGGGGTTGCAGAGTTGGACACGACTGAGGACACACACAAAATGATTTTGCCTTTGCTGGTGTATTTGTTTGGAAACTTTCTCCATGAACAAAACAGTCTATCAAAATCACTGAAAGTAAAGTGCTCTTTTCTGGTGATTAATCAAATACTCTTAACAGCCTCTTTTTCCTTGGGGGAATGAATAATATCTGCAATATAACGAACCTGCTTGTTTTCTTTTTCCAGAGCTTCTACAAAGCATCGTGTAAACACCTGAATGCAGGCTAGTACTTCTGCGGCTCCATCGGTTTCCAGGAGTGCGGACCTAAACAACGCAAGGCCAGATCACAACACATTCAGTGATTAATCTGGAAAATATGTGAACCAAAATATGTAAAAGGGAAACACGGAAACATTCTTTTTGTGCCATAAGCTTCAACAGCAATGTCAGCTCATCAGATTTCAGTTCTTGCGTGAAAGCAGGAGAAATCTGTCACTCCCTTTTCTAAAGACTTCCTTTAAAATTGCAATGTGCAGAGCTCCCTTTCTTGGTTTTTAAATTATTAAGCACTTCATATCTCTTCCACATGGGCCTGGGATGCTCTTTACAAATATTTGCACACTCTATGCCCACAAATGGAAAATCCATAGACCTTTTGCTTTTGAAAGTAGAGAAAGGGGTGCCCCAGGGTTATAATGGCTCAGTTAAATCCATCCAGCAAAGGGGTGGAAGAATCTGCATGTTCCTGGTTTGGTTTCTATGCATTTTCATACAACTAATTTTTCTTTATGTTTGTTTAAACAACACACACACACACAAATCAACTGAAACTTTGCTAGCTTTAAACTAAAAACAGCATTCTGACTTATTTCTACACTCATTTAGCTTAAAGCTTATATGTTTTAAGACCAACTTAAGTGCTGGATTACTTGCTATTGTAAAAATTCCTTTTCCCAATGTCTGCTGTCTGCCGTGGGGCCTCTATTTGCTGAGTTTGAGGGGGACCTGATAAAGAGGGTAGATACCCTGGCCCTGGCTGCACCAGCACCCAGGAAAGAGGCTGGCCACCCCCCTGTCCACTGAGGGTAAGCTCCCTGCGAGGGGTCTGGCCCCTCACTAACTGTCACTCATAACCAACCTGGGGTGCAGTGAGCTCATCTTTCATCGTTGTAAATCCATTGCACTTACCAAGAAGTTCTCGTATTTGCAGAATAAAAATTAGCATGCTGTTAGATAACATGCATAGTTGATTCTGCCTTTCAGAAGTGCTCCGTTAAGAATGGCATTATTTATTTATTATTTTTGGCGTTCCTTAGCTTTAAAAAGATTGGTCAGCCCTCATGTGGTGAAGGGAGAACACTACTACCCTTTATTTTTAATTGAGAAAAATTCTACATGAATAATGCGTGATGCAAAATCTAATTCAATTCTGATTTTCAACCATTATTATTAGATTTTTAAAAGGTTTAAAAAAAGAGTTATCTTAATTCTCAGGCATTGGCTTTTAAATACACATTGACATTTGTGTTTTACCAAAAAGCTCAGCAGGATGGGATGGAATTAGAATCTAATTTCCCCATGGTAGAGCCAGAGACTACCACAGGATTTTTTATTCATATTTTTTATTCATATTTGGAAGCTGAACATATTTAGACCAATTATGAGCAGACACAGCACAATATTTACCTGAATATTTCATCAACAACTCTGAATATGGCGGGGTGGCAGGCAGCAGCTTCAGGCTGTAAAGGAAAAGACCATGAGAAAGTAAAATATCAGAAGCATTTCATCAATAATGACTCGCTCTTATCAGGGAAATGAGTTGTCCACAACTGCTGGTGTCTAGAAAATGGATCTATATCTTTGAGTTAGGAAGAAAAACAACTAGTTCATGGCAAAAGACCTCCATACAAATACAAACAGAAGTTCTCTTGGGGTAAGGGGATTATGGACAGCATTTCTTCTTCTTCTTTATTCAACTTATACTCTGTAAATTCCACATTTTCAACAATAAGCCCACATGATACACAAAAAAGAGTCAATAAGTATCATGGGAAATTAGAAAATACCATCTGCTAGCAGGCCATGATAAAGACACACAGCCCACCCGTGTTGCTGGGCTGTGCTGTGCCGAGTCGCTCAGTCATGTCCGACTCTTTGAGACCCCTTGGACTGTAGCCCACCAGGCTCCTCTGTCCACGGGGATTCTCCAGGCAAGAATACTGGAGTGGGTTGCCATGCTCTCCTCCAGGAGATCTTGCCAACCCAGGGATCAAACCCAGGTCTCTTGAAACCCAGTTCTCTTGAACACAGGGAAGCCCTGTGTTGCTAGCTTTAGGTAATGTTCCCTATGTGTCTGATCTCCTCACATGACTTAAAAGTGCCTCAAGGTCGAAGTTATCCTGTTATCTTTTCATTCCTACTGATTAGGAAATGAGTACATAGTAATTTCAAATTATTATTAAGGAAAGCAGTGACCACCACCATGCCAGACTAAATAATATTACATCTTAGAGCACTATGAATTTAGCAGCTTAAATTACTTAGGATGAAGAAAAAATAAAGATACTATCATATTGAATAAGGAAAGCCATCCAATTTAATCCATTAATATTTTTATGACAGTTTTGATGATTTAAATCTGCAGAAGCCAACTTACTGTGGCCTGGGTGGGGCTTCAGAGGGCCTAACCCAGATTCCATATCTTTTTGTTTGCTTTTTTCTTTTTCTTTTTGGCTGCATGGCTTGTGGAATCTTAATTCACCAACCAGGGATCAAACCTGGGCCCTTGGTGGTGGAAGAGCAGAGCCCTAAGCACTAGACCATCGGCAAATTTCCATGATCCCATATCATCCTGGCTGGAGCTCATACCATGAGATTAAGCTAGAGGAAGATGCCATGGGTGTTTGAAAACAGATATAATACAGTAGCATCCACAGGTTAGTAAATTAGGCTTTGTATGGAATTTCTTTGAGTCACATTGAGCTTTGGGGAACAGTTTTTCATACCCCTTCAACAAGAAAAACAGAAAAAAGGATATATATCTTCCCTTAACTTTTCTAGGCCAGGCTAAAGAATGGTGCCTAACTCCAGCAGCTTCCACACTTCTGTGCTGGCATTTCTCGATGTACAATAACATTGAACGTGTGCCATCTAGTGTTCACACCCCGCCATTACAGCTGTCACAGAAGGCTCCAGGAAAGAGCATTACCACTTGTTAAAATGATGGGATAACTCCTTTTATTTGAAGAGATTTATGATTTGTAGGATGCAAATCTCTGCTTTCTAGGTAGAGTAATCTATACTCCCTAATGGACTTCATTGATGTCCACTTTTATCTAAAAGAAATCAACTAAAATTTTTCATAGATTAAATTCATTACACACTCAAGAGAATAATTTGGCTGATTGATGGTTCAACAGAAGAGACGCAGAGTATTTTTTGACTTTGATCTCAAACAAGTCAGTTATCTCCCTGCTTCTCAGCCTCACTGTAAAGACTAACAGTTATTAAAAGGTCACTGGATATATGCCCAGAAAATATCACAGAAGTTTCTATGTATTCATAATGGAAATTATCAAACAAGAAGAGAAAAGCAAACTGCCTATCTTGAAGAAATGTGACTCATCAAATGTGCCAGAACAGTTTTTCCAAGTTTTATATATAGACAATATGGCTCTTGAATAAGAGTGTTTAAGAACCAAACAACACCGTCATGTGACACATAGAGGCTAAAAACGCACTGACAGAAAATAAGACTAAAATTGAAAATGGTAAAATAGAACCATTCCCTTTGTTCTAAATGGTCTAACTACCCCAGAACCACTGCATAAATCTGATGCTAGTAGAAAATCAATCTATACTAATGACAGAGAAAAGGCTGATCAATGCATAGAACAAGGCTACCTTGAAAAGCAAGCGGGAAAGCAGGAAAGCCCTAACTCTGTTGAAAAGAGGACCAGAGCTTGGACTTGCTCTTCTTTCCTGCAGTGTTATCTAGTGAAACAGCTCAGCCACATGTTTAAATATACAGACTGTGTGGAATCTGCCTGGTCTCTCCATGCCGATCAACTCTCCTCTTAGACTTCCTTCTGTCCAAACAGCTCAGACCGTGGTTGCCCTTAACCTGCTTCTACAACCTGTTTTCGATGCCAGGAGAGAGGGGGACCCTACTGAAACAGCAATGGCAGAGATTTTGATTTAAAAACCAGTCTCCCTTGCCACTCCAGAATTGTGAACAGCTCCTTCTCATCTGCAGTCTTTACTGATGGTTTTAAAAATGAGACTCTTCACACTTTCCGAGCACATAATTTCAGGGTCAGTGAGTCCCCTCGTGAAGCCCAGAGTGCTCACAGGCCAGGCATGTGTCCCAAGGACACCAAATCACAAAAGCAAACTTAAGCCGCTTTTCTTATCAAGGGAATCCTCCAAATAGAATTAAAGTCTTAATTTATGCTTCTTTGGAAGCCATAAATTACCACCACCCCCCACCCCGCCCCAAATCTTTACACATCCCTGAGGGAAGAGGCAAACATTTAACCCCTCTGTGTCCTGTTTTATTTGTAAAATGGGTCCCCAAAGTAACACAACAGGTCACTCTGCAACTCAAACTTCTGGGCCTAGCTCTGAACCCCACAAACCAAGCAATTATCTTTCCTGCTAGAATGAGGACAGAAAAGAAAAGCTTTCTTGGGTTCCATCTGTTTGTCTGTTTTTCCCCATCCTGCTAAAATCTGTTCCTTCTCAAGTTCTTCTCTTCTCCATCTGGTCTAACGATTTCCATGTACAGATTATTTCAAGTCCAGGGAAACTTCATTAGCAGGAGGCCGTCAATGACAGCGGTTGCGCTCTTCTTCCCTTCTCTCACACTGCCCCCAGTTCTCTCACTGAATGTGAGAGGATGAACAGGAGAAGAGGGAAAGCTCTGGACACTGGTTTCCTTTTCTTACGGGCCAGGTTGCGCTGGGGGGCACATTCCCTTACCTCTTCTACAGCTACCCAGGACTGCACTGCTTGTTTCTTCTCTGGCCAGACAGCCAGCCCATGCTCATCCCTCAGAAGAAAAACAAAAAAACAAGGGAAGACTAAGCAACACAGGGAAGCGTGCAGCAGCTGCGTTTTCTAGGCTGCTTTGGAGGCAGAGGTGAGGGAGTGGCCGGCTTGTCACACTGTGCCATGGACTGCACAAATAACATCCATGCTCACTCTGTCCTTGCTGTCTACACATGCATGCTAAGTCACTTCAGTTGTGACCCAACTCTTTGTGACCCTGTGGACCGCAGCCCCAGCCTCCTCTCTGTCCACGGGATTCTCCAGGCAAGAATACTGGAGTGAGTTGCCATGCCATCCTCCAGGGGATCTTCCTGACTCAGGGATTGAACCCATGTCACCTGCGGCTCCTGCATTGCAGGTGAATTCTTTACTGCTGAGCTACCAGAGAAGACCTCCTTGGTGCCTAACCTGTTATTTTCATCCCAGTTCATCAACGATTATTACTAGCTGCCTGAGAATTCTCAGGAAGAAATCTTTCCTATTTTCCTATCATTTTCTGAATCTGTGTGAGATGGAGAGAGTATGGGGAGAGGGGAGAGAGAGAATACAAGCCAGAAAGGGAAGTTAAACTATGATTTGAGGTAATTCACTAAGAAAAGTTAATCCCTCTTGTAAAAAACAAAAAGGCAGTGAAGACATGGAAACAAAATTCTCAAGCCTCCTTCATTTATCACCTTTTACACATATTTTTCCTAAAAAATAGAGAAGTTTCAGGTGAGAAATAAACTGAAGTTCAGTAAGTCTGGGGGAGATTCTCTTTCATGGTCCATTTTTATGGCCAGCAACACATCCCACTGTGTATCTGACTCATCCAAACCCTTGACAGGCAGGAGCCCTTGTGTTAATCCATGTATGTAAATTAAAAGGTGACTTTCATAAAAAAATAACACTCCTCTTTAAAAAAAAATTCTTTGTAAGTTTCATTTCAATAGACTCTTTTGAGTTAAAAAAACAATTTGGTCTAAAAAAAAGCTACCTATATAAAAAAAAATCTTCATATCTGTCATATAAAATAAGGCACCTTTATAAACATGTATTTTTTATTACGCCATTTTCTTCTTTTCTACTTTCAAAATATCAAACTTAAGACTGTAAATATCCCTTTTGCATTTTAAGTTCTATTTTGTTTCAAAACATTTGTGTTTCTTTCATCAAATTTGAGCTTGGAAAAATTATTCTTTCTTTTTAATCTTTACCAGATGTTGTTTATACTACCAGCAATTTTTTTCAGTACTCTATAATGAAATTATTGTTTAATTAGTGATAAATCTGTCATTTCTGGGCTTAAGAAAAAAAGAAGAAAAAAACTTAACAAGTACCAAATGTACTTTTGTGTTTTAAATTTACCCGCGCTGTCTGAGAATGTTAAGACACAGGGATGCGAGCAAAGGCCCCCAAACCTCAAGTTCCTCCTCTCGCCCGGCCCAGAGGCCTCTCTCCCCGGCCTGTGTAGCCGGGGTGGGAAGAGGCTCCTCGGCCCCCTGCTCTTCTTGGCTCGGCCTCTGAGTGGCAGTGACCTTCTAGGGCAACTACTGCCCCGTTTTGTTTTTTTGTTTGTTTCTCTCTCTTCATCTCTGACTGGCTGCCAAGGCCTGCATCCCAACAGTGAAAACACAACCTGCCATCTAGGTCTCTTTTCTTCCCAGTGCTGGGTGATCTGGTGCCCCCATGAGGTCGATGCAGGAAAGTGCAACTATTGTTTCTTTTTACCTTTTAGCCACAAGCATAAACCACCTCCACACTTCTCTATTCGATCACTGCTAAATTATCTACTTTAGCTTTTGTTAAATTACATGCATCACATTAAAGAACTCAAAAAAAAAAGAAATGTTTAAAAGACTGCTAATGAGAAAGCAGGAAAAGAAAAAACCCTAGAACATTAGTAAGAAGTTATTCAAGCAGAGAGAACTGACATCACCCAGGATGTAGAGTTAATTCTTCAGTATAATATTTTATTAAAGGGGAACTGTGTTTGGAGTTCAGCGTAAAATGAGTCTCTTTTTCTATGTGAAGTGGCTATGATTACTATCTGGAGAATGGAAACAAGAATGCATCTTATCTCATAAGAGGGAGGTCAAGTAGGACACTGAGTTATCTGCAGGTTTGTTATTCTTAAGTTCTTATTAGATCAAGAACTACCTTTTAACCCTATCTTTATTGAGGTACACTTGACAAGATAAAGAACTAATTTTGGTGGAGTTATGAAGAGAAACACCAGGAATGTTTCCTGATTTAAAATCTGAATAAACAAAACCAATCCCCCTTCCTCCCCCTCCCCCTGCACTCTTTCGTGGGCAAATCTCTGGACCCAGCTAGAGGGGCAGGCGGCATGTGAGGCCAGCCAACGAAGGATCGAACAGGAGGGCATGGGAACCAGGGTATATCCCAGCCTGGGCATGCAGCAGGGCAGCCAAGCACAGTGCCACCCAGCCAGCACTTTTCATTCAAATGCAGAATGTAAACAATAGCTTTCTGGGCTCCGCAAACAGAATTGTAACTGGAAAACATAACATCCTTCTGATTCGGGGCCAGCCTTGGGAAACCAAACAGTGCCAAGAAAGCTGCATAATTAGCAAGTGGCTTTCACTGCTTTTGGTGACATGAGTTTTTAAGGTCAGGTCTGAAGCTATGGATTATAGTCTTCCATTGCCTGTTCTGTCAAGGGAAACACAGGACCATCTGCTTTTGCAAAGTATCAGTCTGCTCAGTAGATGACAAACTGAGGCTAAGACCTCGATTTATTTAGGAGCATCAAATGTGGCAGGTGGCCATGGACTTGGGGGAGGTCCAGCCTAAGAGAGTCAAACAGCGAGCCTCAAAAGGAAACAGGTTTTGAAAACGTACTTTTACTTTAGAAGTCAAAAAACATATGCACGCACTTAGAATTCAGGTGACTATTAGGTCAACACCTTATTATTCATGGTCTTAAAGGAAAATACCCAGCCTCGAGGCCCTGAGAGGCCCCAGAACATTTGGAGAGATCATTTCACTCTGTACAACCTGTACAACACGTTTATCTTTTGTTTTTGCAACATCTTGGTAACTATAGAACTTTGAGGCTAATTCTGAATAGTCCTGAGAGATGGAAACATAATTAACAGTGCTCCATGTAAAACACAAGTTACTAGACCATCACACTTTAATTACTCTCAGAATCCAACTCTAATGTAATAGGCATCAAGTTACTTCTAGAGGAAAGCACAGCAGTCCTGTCCTATCCAAGTCTTCCAAATCTTTCTGATACTTCCGCGGGGTCCCGTCACAGCCCTGAGATACCGTGCTCTGATAAGTGAAGCAGCTGATGCAATCAGGAAGCACGTTCTTCAGGTTACCTTTCCAATCACTCGGTCATGTCACAGGCTTATTCCAGCCTGCTTGGTTGTGTGGCACTGGGGGCCCAGGATCCTGAGGACAGCAGCCCACGCCAATCAAGGACTTGCAGCTCTGAATTGTAATTACCCCCTTGAACCATAAGGCAACAGAGGGGTTACATCCTGCCAATGCCACAATAAATTAAACACAATAACACCCTCTGAAATCCCCCTTTAACCATAATGGAAGCTCTGAATCTCTACACACATGATCCTGATAAATGCTTTTGTAAATCAACTGACTTCAAAACTGTTTGGGGGGAAATGATTTTAAACCATAAACTGGAGACTGAAGGTTATAAATGCAATGTTTAACAGGAATGCCTGCTTTCTCTCTCTCTCTCTCTCTCTCATCCTGGGTTTACTGACAGGCTCAGGCCTGAGGGCCACAGGTAAAAAGGGCACAAAGAAGATTTAGAGAAGAATCACAAGGTTGCAGAATCAAATCAATTTAGGGTGATGAAACTGGAATTTTTCCATGGAGAGAAGACTTAAAGAAACTTAATAAGGACCTTGAAAGCAAGGAAATAGCTCAGTTACTATATTTTGCCACTGAAAAAGGACCAGAGAAAATGAAATTATAGCATGTATCTTTCAGTCAGAAATAGATTTACCTGACAATAAAGGTAATGTTTTGAATGGGCTGCCAGGACTTCTAAAAGCCTTTGTTTATTTTGAATATTATAGTTATTTTTACATAAGGTACATTCTTATTTCTCACATTCATATGCAACTTTTTTTTTTTTAATGCAACTGTTTTGAAAGATGAGTTCAAGCAAAATTTCCCTAAAAGTAACTCTTTCTCTTTGGGCTCTCTCGATCTTTGTATCTATTTTCTTTTCTTTTCTTTTTTCTATCAAACATTGTAAACGTCTAAATTAGTAGGGTTCAATTTGGGCCAGCTAACTCACAGATGAACGCAGCATGGCTGCTGGCCACTGTGACCCTATCCATGGTCCCGTTGGAGGCCCCAAGATGGGAAGGCAAAGAGGAGCCTGGGAGACAGGGAGAAGGTAAGCAGGGCCATGGTCACACTCGTGACCTGGTAGGGACTGATCAGGACCCGAAAAGAGAGCTGGGCTGTAGGAAGAAGGCAGCAGATTCAATCATGGTTCTCTCACAGAGCCTCCAATTTGAAAGAGAGCGAAAGCGTCAAGTTCTAACTGGATTAACCAGAGAGAAGGTGTCCCGGAGGAGGCTGGGTAGACTCAGCCAACCTCAGTGCGCTGTGTGCAGAGACAGACACCCTGCCCCAGCACAAGTCTCAGCTCAGGGGGTGGCGGACACTCTCCAGCCCAGGTTCCCGGCCACCAGCTTAAGATCGGACTGTTGACCATCTCTCTTTTACTAGCTTTCTCCATCTGTACAAGAGGAAACACATCTCTGCACCGTAACTCCCCTCAGTGACAAAAGCGAGTAAGAAAGCCGGTTGGAGCCTGCGAGGTTCCTGTAAGATGGAGGCCCGGAAGCATGACACCTCCAGGAGAGCTTTAATTGTTTATTCAGAGTGCACTGGTCTTTACTCTGACTCTAAAAAAATGCACATAAATTCCAGAGCTGCCTCCCACAGAGGGAAAACACAGGATTGGTCAGGTTCTGAGGACTGCCAGCTAGCCTGGGCCCCTGCCAC